AGAGTATGACTTACAAACAACCACTGGATGGGCTGACTAGACTCCAGTGGATGCATTTATACTGAAGGACATTTGGGTACAAACACCTGAATGAATAGGACTCATCATATATGGCAGAGTGCATAGGGTTTGATGGGGGGATAGGGATGGGGGAGGGGGTCTGGATTTGAGTGGGAAATGTGTGAAATTTAAAAAGCTCAATTAAAAGAAAACTGAGCTGGGCTTGGTGGCACACACCTTTAATCCCAGCACTCTGGAGGCAGAGACACGCAGATCTCTATGTGTTCAAGGCCAGCCTGGTCTACATAGTGAGTTCCAGGACAGCTAGGGCTACAAGGAGACCCTGTCTCAAAAAGACCAAATAAAACAAAAAACAAAAAACTGATCAGAACTCTTGTGTCTGAATTTGAAAGACTATTATTTTGACCCCAAATAAACTGTAACTTATTCTTTTAGTGTGTCTTTTTAAAATAGACAATACCAGTAGAAAATAAAATCTGAAGATTCTGTAATGCTTTTTAAAAATGTATATACAATCTATTCAGACCTTTCTGTATAAGCAGTTATGTGTGCTATCTGAAAACTTTATAATGACTATAGGTGTAGACATGAGGGTTCTGCCTGTAGAGAATCAGAGTCCATGGAGAATTCAGATGTACATGAACCTAAGATACCTATATATACTGCCCCCACATGTTAGGAGACTGGCTCAGACTGATTTAATGTCAAGTAGGAATTTGACTCCAGTGGATTGAGTGAGCTGCACATAATCCTCTTTCAAGTAACTGGTAGTGAATAGGCTGAGTATAAGCCAAGCATAGATATAGATCTCAGTTTATCCAGTTACCATGTGCCCTCTTGTTGTATGCCACAGAGCCTCAGTTTACTCATATAATCACCTAATAGTTGACTATTGAGTTTTAAATAAAATCTGTGATGTGTAAGGGAAATGTAAATTCAGCAGGTCAGGCTGTTCAGTCCTTGCATACCTTCAAGGGGACCTACAGCCATGACTGAACTTTGGCTACCCTCTGGGAATGCAGCCCTTAGACTGGTCTTATATTAATCATTGATGACTATATTTTGTACCCCAAATGTACCATGCTATATCAGCTTTTCAGGATCGCTTTTCACATACATGATTTGCATGTGGTTTCACTAATAGGATCCTAACTTTCAGTTGCCAAGGTTGGTCTTAATAGCATGATAATTCTATGTGGCTGGGTCTCACTGAAAGCATTAGATGAGAGACCTGATCGTTTTCTCCTTGTAAACACATTTTGTTCATGTCCACATCATTTGCAGCTATAGAGAAAGCATGCCTTATGTAGCCCCATGTTGGGGAAATAGTGAAAAGCCTATTCCTGAACTCTCTGAACACCTCCTGATACACAACCTTTCCTTGATACTCTTGCTCTACATAATTTTGTTCTAATAAACCTAAACCTTAGCCACAGATATAACCTGCTACTGTGTCTGAGTCCTTTTGGTGAATCAATAAACTTAAAGGACCTGTGAGACCTAAAAGGACTCGGAGAGTACATACTGACTAGTGGCATTTAGATTAAGCCTGTTAGATGTTGTATGAGTTGAATGGAAGTTTACTAAAATAGAGGCTGGTAATGCAAGACTATGCCTGCTTTTCTCAACTATGCCCTTGAAAGAAGGAAATACAACATTTCAACCAAAGGAACATTAGACTATATAACTCCAAGATTCTCCCCAGTCTCTCATCCCTGTGGATTCGGAGTGGGAATCCCTGTAGGAAAACATAGGTAAGTGAGTAGATTTCTGTCTTAGTTATCCCCCAATTGCTGTGACAAAATACTCTAAACAATACCAACTTAGGGAGGAAAGGGTTTATTTGGCTTACATATCCCAGATCACAGTTCATCATGGAGCTAAGTATAGTAACACAGGGCAGGTACCTATAGGCAGGAACTGGAGCGCAGGTCATGCTGCTTACTGGTTTGCTCCCTTGTCCTGTGTTCAATTTGCTTTCCTATATAATACAGCCCAGGGATGGTACCACCCACAGTGGTCTGGGCCCTCCCACATCACTCAATAATCAAAAAGATGCCTCACAAACATGGCCACAGACCAGTCCAATAGAGGAAATTCCCCAATTGAGGCTCCCTCTACCCAGGTGTGTCAAGTTGACAACTGAAGCTATCCAGCACAATCTCTAACTAGAAAGTTTTGAAATGTCACCATTTTGAAGGGAATCAAAAAGAATGAGAGGCCTCATTGAGAGTATCATTAAGTATTCTACAGTTTTTGAAAATGATCGGACATTTCTTGGCTCAAGTGGTATTCAACCCAGAGACCAAAGATGCCAGAAACTCACCAACCACTGAAAGTCAACCTGAGGCAGTGGCTCTTGAGTGTGTTGTCTTTGTTCTTCTCTGAATCTGCTTCATTAGCTGCCATCCTTGTCTGCTAGTCATTAGCCTACTAGCCATCTACCCTGCAGATATCTTCTAGCTGTTAATTACACTATGCTTTCCTGTTTTCTCACATCTTTGTGGTCTGCTTAGAACTTCACCAGAAGGCTAACTCCTATCACAGCTACAAAGATGTAGCTATAGTTGTTCTTGGTTACCTCATATTTAACTTCTTGTTCACAGTGCAGTCTGGGAGTCTCTTTCCTGAAATACGTGAACACCAAGATGTGACCACTCTTCTTTATCTTCCGTGATGTTCCCAAATTTACTGCTTTAACCCCAGCCTTCCTTTGGACCCAATCATCTGTTCTCATTATAACATTTATAATCAACATGTAGTTTTCACCATGGGTCCTTTTCCCTTACTATCTATGCTGACTCAATTACAACACTTAGACTAATATCCTAGAGTTCCAGGAATGTGTGCTGTAGGCTGCGTCCCCAATTTAGGTGGTAATCTCTAGAGGAGGTGATATTAAAAGTAGTTGTTAGGAATTTCCCTCAAATCACCCAGAAATAAGTAACACTGAACATCTTAGTCAGTTTGGAATACATAACAAAATACCATACCATAAACTGAGTAGTTTATAAGTAACAAGTTTATTTCTCACAGTTCTGAAGTTCTGGAAATTCAAGATTAAGGCAGCAACAGATACAGTGTCTGATGAGGGTCTATTCTACAATTCATAGATAAGTCTTTTTGCTATGCCTCACAAAATAGAAGGGGTAAACTCTTTAGCTCCTTAAAAGGGTAATGATTCCTTTCACAAGATCTCTGTTTTTATGACCCAATTACCACCTAAGAACTGCCACCTCCTAAAATGATTCAATACATTAGGTTTCGATCACATGAATTTTGGGGGAACACAGCATTTAGCCTATAGCACAGAGATATTTCCAACAAGCAGTATAAAGAAAGACACGGTCTTGAACTATGAGGGTTCCACATAAAAAAAAGTAGAGCTGGGGCTGTTGCTCAGTCATAGAGTACTTGCCTGTCCTGTGCAAGGCCCTAGGTTCCATTCCCAGTACCATGCATGTAAAAATAATAAAATAAAATCACTTCACTGACTAGGAGTATAGCTCTATGGTAGAGCACTTGCCTAGTATGCACAGCCCTGGGTTTGCTCCAAGTACTGGAAAAAGAAACTAAAAAATACATTTCCAACTAGGAACAATGCTTGGTGGTAGAGCCATTTTCTAGCATGCATGATACTCTTGGTTTAATCCTCAGCACTGAAAAAGAAAAACATAAATTTTGTTGTGTTAAACCTTCAGTTGAGAGCTAATTCAAGGTAAGGAGGAGTTCGGGTTTTCCATCTTATATCTTTTTCGGTTTGTATGTGTATGAATGTTTATGATTCCCATTTGAGTGACTACATCTAAATAAGGTATGCCAATGAACCTTACACCTTTAAAATGAAATGATAAATACAGCAATAATTAATCATGCCACGCATTTAATTGGTGTTTTAAAAATGCCATCAAGATAGGCCTGTTCTTGATAATGATCACATGTAGATTTTCTTTCAGTAGCTTGAGTTGTTTATCTGAAGTAAAAGTGTAAGGAATTTTGTGGATAGCCTTTAAAAAAAATCTAGTTACCACATATCATATTTGATTGATAAGGGGGAAAAGTTAAATTATAGTTGATGAACAAATTAAAGAAACCTTTTGAAGTCTGTTTCTCAGTGAAAGGCTAGCAGACACCTGTGAATTTAAGTGCGTATTTTATGGATTGCATAAAAGTTTTTCTGAGTAACAAATTCTTATTCTATATGATTTAAGCAAAAATCACTTTTCCTGTTCACTTGAAAAAACTATGGCTTAAAATGCTTTCAGAGTTTAGTTCTGAAATTAAAATCTGGTCACTTGAGATCTGATGTTTTGTTCTCTGGTTTAGAAGTTATAAGATTGCTCTTAACAGTCTCTTCAGTGGGAAGTCAGTAACTGCTCGGGCTCTTTGTTGTGAGGGATTGATTGATTCCTGCTTCTCCCACCCCTTAATATTTCTCTGCTGCAATTTAAATGAGTAAAGCATTTTAAGATGTTTAGTAGACAGACCAAACAAAATGTTTTTATTTTAAAGTGTTTTTTTCCTCAACCGCTCTAAAGATGAAAACAAAGTATCTTGTGTAGAAGTATTTTGGTAATGTTTTACAAGCTCCTCCATGTTCTTAGGTTTCGCTCTTCCTCGCTCCACTTATTGTAGGTTACACAAGAACTCTTACCTCTTGTGATTGTGCCTCAGACCCTCTAAACTCAGACCTTCTAAGTTTCCCAGGTGCTCTGGCTTGTCACCCTTGGTTTATTCTTGTGCTCTCTGTATTTAAAGCTTTGACTGTACTAGGAAAAATGAAAGGTTATGATTAGCTAATAGGAGTTCACAGATAATCCAAATGATTACGCTTTGATTTGGTTTAATTGAGCTGTACTAGTTCATTTTGTAAGGAAATGATACTGTAGACAAATGTAAATAAAAATCTGTGAGTCAAGCATCAAGTGGTGTTTTTTAGAAATAAATTAGAAAATTTCAAAAACAAAATAAATAATCCCTTAGTTATTGTAGTCACCTCTAAGAATAATATCATCATGCTGTACATCACAAATAATGATTATTTATTGATCACTATCCTCATGCTCACATTTTTTCTTATGAGCATCATGGTAAGTATTGTGCTTGTAATCTGCTTCATGAGAATACTTGTGAGAAGGCTTCATTTTCCTTAAAGCATGAAAGTTTCCAGTGTGTTCCTTCTTTGCCTCCAAAATATTATTGGCCAAAACATCAGAAGAACTATTGCAAACAAGGCACCTTTCTTTATAATGTCGACAAGTTTTGCCTAGTGGAGGATTGGTTAACACAACTGCCTGACCTATTCTACCTGATTTTTTTAGATTATAATGTCCATGTGACCAGTTAGGTTTCCTTAAATAGGGTGGTTTGGTTAGCAAGGTTTGATTTTGTAAGAGTGGTGGACAAGATTGTGTGGTTTGCGTACCCAAGGCTTGTAAGACAGCTAGGAAAGGTGGCATGGCTTGCTTGTCTAAATAAGGTGATCGTTCTTGATTAATTAGTTTGGAGGCATGGGTTAGCTTCTGTGACTTTTTAAGGTTGTGTTTCTTATATGACTTTTCCACATGAGATGACTTATGTTTTGGGGGCCTTGATGACTTTCTGGAGACTGATTGCCTGTTTAACTTGTTTGTGTTGTGTGGTATGGATGACTTTTCTGCTTTGGGTGGTTTGCATGCCTTTTCTAAATTTGAGGAATCAATTGGCATTTCTGCTTTGTCTGACATGAGTAGAGAGTCTGGATGTGAGGTCCCAGATCCCTGGTCTTCATTTGATAGCAGAGGTTGACTTTCTAGAATGTCCTCATTTACCACATGTGGTTGATAAGCTGAGACTTTGGATACCCAGGATGCCGTAGCGGCCATGTTTTTTTTGTTGAGCCTGAAATACAGAAAATTTGGAGTGTAGTAATTTAAAACAAAAAGTTCTAGACTACAGTGAATGAACTTGCACTGAGGGACATCTGGGGACACTAACTGGACATGATAGGCCTTAACACAAATGACAGAGTGTATGAATTCCAGTGAGGGGGGCGTCTATGGGAGGGTGCCAGTGGGGAAAGGAGTATAAAGTTGATTAAGACTGATTGAGGTATTCTGTATGAAATACATAAAAAATTCAATAAAATATTTCAAAAATTCCTATTACTATCATCAGAAAATATAGGGTACAATGTCAGCTTAGACTTTGAGTAATTTTTTTCCATAGGAACACTAAACACATTAATAACTGTACTGTGGTGAGAACTGTAACTCAGGTGACTATATATTTAATGTGAATATACATATATATTCATGTTAAATAATATTGAAGAAAACTATTTGAGCATTTTAACCACATTAGATAACTTATAGTCTATGTGTGGAATGACACAATGTTCTTTCAAATCTACTGTTAAAAGAAAGAGAGCTAGGCCTAGTGGCAAAGGCCTGTAATCCCAGTTATTCAGAAGGAGGAGAGGGGAGAATAGCAGGTTCAGTGTTTTGCTTGGATATAGAATGGGTTTCAGACCAGCCTGGGAAACTTGGTGAAACCCTGTCACAATATAAAAAGTAAAGAGAGGACTGTGGGTGTAGCTTAGTGATAGGGCACTTGCCTAACATGTCTGAGGTCCTAGGCTCTGTCTCCTGTAATACATATATATGAAGAAAGAGAATGAGACAGCTAAGCAGAGAAAAATAAAGACAGAGATAGAGATCAATCTCCCTGATGTATATAGATGCAAAAATTATCAATAAAATATTGGCAAACCAAATCCAATACCACCTCAAAAGCACCATTCATCAGGATCAAGGTAGCTTCATTCTAGAGATGTCAAGATGGTTCAACACACATAAATGAATAAATGTAATATATCACGTAAGTAGACTCAAATTCTACATGGTTTTATGTAAGTGCACCACATATGTACAACCCCTGAAGGGGTCAAAAAAGCATGGCATAACTTCTGGACTGGAGTTACAGTTGGTTGTTAGCTGCCATGTAGGTTCTGGGAACCAAACCTGGGTCCTCTGGAATAGTAGCCAGTGCTTTAACTACTGAACCATCTCTCCAGCCCCATGTGCAATAGCATCTTGACTCTTAGAGAAGATGGTTAACCAGCTGCCCACTTGGAAAGCAAGATATGCCTACCTGTGCAATAGTATCTTGATTGTGCTCTCTGAATGAATTCTAGAACTTCTCCACAAGGGTCAGGGAGGGAACAATGCCTCGTATTACAAGCTTGGCTAACAACCCAGGTATGAAGAGGTAGTAGGCTCATGTATATTTCTGATGGTTAACTAAACTGTCATGGAAGCACACTGACTTTTAAATGGTGCACTCTAACAGGTGTGCTTTCTGCAAAGAAGAGTTTGAAACTCTTCAAGCCCAAGTGACCCCTGATGACCAGATCCTTAACTGACCTTAACAGTGAAAAAGAAAGTGGTTAATGTTGATCACCTGCACGGTCTTAAACACGCAGCAGAAAATTATAACCAAAAATTAAAAGAACAGATAATAATATAAATTAACAACAACAAAGACTAGACTTTAAGGGAGACAAATGATTCAGCCCTAAGCAATAATGAAACCTTCATCACACACACTTTACATTCTTAAATGTGTAAAACTTACCCTTCTGGTGACTGGACTTCCTCTATCATACAATTGTGATGGATTAAGCAAAAACAAGTGAAGGTAAAGGCTATGATTGTAATACCAACAATGAAATCAAGGAGACGTGTCCTAAAATCATCCAGTTTTGATCCTGTTGACTCGGGGTTTGCATTGTTCAATTCAGATTCATTGTTTGCCTTTCCTGCAAAAAGACTACTGTCAGAAAATCTATTAGCCTAGTTTCCTTCTACTTTGATAGTGGTTTTCCACTGCTTGTGAAAGTCTAATTCTTCAATATTTTTTTAAGCTTGAGAAAGGTTCCATTGTAATTTGTGTATGGAGGATATGCATGTGCGTGCAAGTGGACATGTGGGTACAAGAGTTCTCACCTGTACATGTGTAAGTGGAGGTTAGAGGTTGACCTCAGGTATTTTCCTCAATTGCTCTCTTTCTTTGCTTTCTTCCTTATTTTTTAACCCCCACCCCCACCTCTGTCTCGTGTGTCTGTGTGTCTATGTGTCTGTATGGGCATGTGCATGCCATCCATGGCCTGTATGTGGAGGTCAGAGGAAAACCTTGACTGTTGTTCTATGTCTTCCATCTTACTTGAGACATGGTATGTTTTTTTAAAATCTATATATTTTTATGTGTATGAATGTTTTGCTTCCATATACGTAAGTGTGCCACATGCATGAAATACTTATGAGGCCAGAAGAGGACATCAAATCCCCTGTAACTGGAGTTACAGATAGTTGTTAGCTACCATGTGAGTGCTGGGAACTGAACCTGGGCTCTCTACAAGATCAGCCAGTACTCATAACCACTGAGTCATCTCTCCAGCTGCAAGACAGAATACCATTATTTTCTATTGCTGCACTGAATATACCAGACTAGCTGGCACATGAGCTTCCAAGGCTTCTCCTATCTCTGCCTTGCATCTCAATGTAGGAGTGCTAGGATCATAGATGCTAACTACTGTGCCTGGATTTGTGTGGGTCCTTACACTTATGCAGCAAGTGCTTCTACCACTCAAACTTCCATTATAATTTTTCCCCTTGATCACATCCTAGCCATAAATGTCAAATGTGACAGGTGTCTCTAGCTAATCCATATAATTACCTGCATTACCTTTGAATCATGTCTTGTTCACTATAGAACCTAGGATTTTAAGTGTGTGCATGCTGTACATGGGCGAGTGAGTGACCTTGAGTGTTAATATGTGAATGTATGTGATAGGAAACAGGATGGGATAACAAAAAAAATGTAGTTAAAAGCCTACTATGACTGATTGATGCTGGATGAGGGAGAAAGGGCTGATTAGACTCTGGTGGACAAATTTACACTGAAGGACAGATGGTACAAACGCTTGACTGGATAGGACTTAACGTGTATGGCAGAATACATGAGGTCTGGTGGGGGGGGGACATGGATGGGGAAGGGGGTCCTAAATTTGATTAAGTATGGTTGTAGAAAATTACAAAACTCAATATTTTTTAAGGCATATTATTCGGTCAAACGCAATGGTGTGTGCTTAATAGATCCAGCTACTTCAGAAGTTAAGGAAGAAGTATCACTTGAGGTCAGGAACTTGACGTGAGCAACACAAAACAACCTGTCTTTAGAAACCAAACTAAAACCAAATACAATACAACTACTATTTATTAGGTCAATTCAAATAATGTAATCTAATTTGGTCAGAAGATTGGGGGTGACCTAGTTTGTTTTTTCATTGTGGTGACAAAATACTCTGACCAATATCAACCTGGGAAGGAAAGGGTTTATTTGGCTTACATCTCCAAGGTCACAGTTCATGAGGGATCCCAAGGTAGGAACTCAGGGCAGGAACCCAGAGGCAGGAGTTGAAGCACAGGCCATGGAGGAACGCTGCTTACTGGCTTGCTCCCCTGGCCCCTGCTCAGCCTGCTTTCTTATGCAACATAGGCCCACCTGTCCAGGGGTGGCACCACCCACAGTGGGCTGGGCCCTCCCACATCACTCAACAATCAAGAAGATGCCCCACAGACATGGCCATAGGCCAGTCCAATGCAGATAATTCCCCAGCTGAAGCTCCCTTAACCCAGGTGTGTCAAGTTGACACTAAAGCTATCCAGCACAATTGAACCCTTGCCAACTTGACACAGAAACACATCACTATTAAACCATAAACTTTCCGATTCTTGCCCCCAAGATATGATGTTAACATTAACATCACAACATAAAATAGTACAACCTCAAAAGCCCCACAGTCCTTAAAAAATCAAAACACCTAAAAGTCCATAGTCTCTTTTAAAAGTCTCTTAACTGGGGGCTTCTGTAAAATCCAAAACAAGTACTATCTTATTTCAAAGGGAAGAATTGGGCACACTGAAGAAAAAACAAAGTCCAGCACAGTAGCTCAAAGCTGGACATCTGGGGTTCACTCATGACCTTCTGGTCTCCAAAGGATTCTGGAAGCTCCACTTCTGACTCTGCCGTCTGCAGCACACAGCTCATCTCGCAAACCCAGGCCAGCTCCATTCCATACCTGCTGCTGTCCTTAGTGGTTGTCCCATGGTCCTGGCATCTCCAAAAAACTGGGGACTCCACTGAAACTGAGGCTGCACCTTCACCAATGGCCTCTTCTTGCCTCTTGGGGTGAAAAGTCTCAGATTCTCGCCATGACCCCTTCAGTCCTGGGGTCTTCAATGCAACTGAGGCTACACTTTCACCTATGGCCTTTCCTGGCCTTTCAGAGTACCAAGCCTCGGTTTTTTTCTGTGACCCCTTCACACTTTCAAAACCAGAACCACATAGGAGACTCTTACACATTACAAAGTCCTGCTTCCAGGTGGGGATGGAGGCTCAGGCCCCCTCGCGATCACAGCTTCTGTGTACGGACCCCGAGGAAATACTTCCCAGAACATTTCATCACGGTGATGCTGGTCTCTTGTTACTTACAGCTAATTTTTCAGCCCCAGCTAACCAGCATCAATTGTCCCAGTAAAGCAAAGTTTTTACTTCAGGTTCTGGTCTCTTCTTTTTTTTAAATTTATTCTTTTTTAATATTTTATTATTTTTATGTGTATGAGTGTTTTACCTGCATGTAAGTGAGTGCACCCACGTTGTGCAGTGCCTCGGAGGTCAGAAAAGGGCGTCGGATTCCCCTGGAACTGGAGTTAAAGACGGTTCTTAGCTGCCATGTGGGAGCTGGAAATCGAACCCGGGTCCTCTGCAAGAGCAGTCAGTGCTCTTAACCGCTGAGCCAGCTCTGGTCTCTTCTTAATAACAGCTGATTCTTCAGCCCCAGCCAACCAGAACCCACAGATTCACAATTCAAAATATCACACAAACAGCCCCAATAGTCTCTGCTTCCTTTTGAAGCTTCACAAGCCAGGCCTCCATTGTTTACAGCTCTTTGAGTATAACTGTTCCAAGTTCCACAGCAACAAAGTCTAAGCACTCAATGTCTTTTCCAACACAAAGTTCCAAGCGCTTTCACAATCCTCATCTCCCAAAAACAACTGGGTCAGGTCTGTCACAGCAATGCCCCACTTTCTGGTACCAATTTCTGTCCTAGTTTGTTTCTCCATTGCTGTGACAAAATACTCTGACCACTACCAACTTGGGGAGGAAAGGGTTTATTTAGCTTACATATCCCGGCTCACAGTTCATCCGGGAGCCCAAGGTAGGAACTCAGGGTGGGAACTTGGAGGCAGAAGCTGGAGCACAGGCCATGGAGGAACGCTGTTTGCTGGCTTGCTGCCCTGGCCCCTGTTCAGCCTGCTTTCTTATGCAACACAGGCCCACCTACCCAGGGGTGGCACCACCCACACATGGCTGCGCCCTCCCACATCACTCAACAATCAAGAACATACCCCACAGACATGGCCGTAGGCCAGTCCAATGCAGGCAATTCCCCAGTTGAAGCTCCCTCAACCCAGGGGTGTCAAGTTGATACTAAAGCTATCCAGCATAGATGGGTAAGAGGACCATAAATCTTTATTCTTTTTATTTATATTTTGCTTAGATATTTCCAATAGAAATAAAAACATCAGCTATTGTACTAGAAATTCTTGAAGGCTGACTAAGAGTAATACCAATGAAACAACAAATTCTTAAAACATGATAGCCACAAAAAATTCTAGCTTTCCTAATAACACAATTAATTCATATATATATATAATTTTTAAACTTTAAGCTTAGGCACATACCTGTGGTAGGAGGTTCATGAATGTGATTTATTTTAAAACAATTTATTGTCCAAATGGACAAGAATAGGACATAATTACAAGCATTCATATCCGAAGTGTGGCTAAAATATTTCAAAGTGTAAGGCAGCTGCTGTATTTCATCTGCTTCCTCTCTGGGTTTATGACATCATTGTCATTTGGCCTCATACTCTGACATCATAATCTTACCAGGGGGCAGCAGCAATTTCTGTGCACAAATTTTTTCAAGTGAATTTAATAATCTATTTTGAAATCAAATATTCTGTCGAATTGAAAACTAGAACAAATGATTGTTGATCACAGAAAGAATATGTAGAAAGGGTAGGGTCAAATGGGGCAGTCCTGGAAGTTGCAGAACTGTTTCTCCTTATTAAACAACAAGGAGTCATTTTGTAGCCTGCTATGGACTAAAGCTATCTCCCGGAATTCCGTGTACTGAAATGTAATCTCAGTGTGATGGTGGTAGGAGGTGAGGTCTTTGAGAGGTAATTAGGATACAGTCTTCATGAGTGAAATTAGTGCCCTTATAAGAATAAATCAGATATCCAGATCACCCTTTTCAAAATGAGTTCACAGCCAACAACCATACTAAACAGAAAGACTCAAAGCATTTCCACTAAAACCAGAAACAAGACAAGGATGTATACGTCTCCATTCCTGTTCAATATAGCACTTGAAGTCTTACCTAGAGTAGTAAGAGAAATGAAGGAAATAAAGGGATACGGATTGGAAAGGATGAAGTCAAAATATCACTATGCGATGATATGATTCTATATATAAAAGAGTCCAAAGATTCCACCAGAAAACTCCTAGAGGAGATAAACACATTCAGCAAAGTACCAGGATACAAAATTAACACCTCCAAATCATTAATCTTCCTATACATGAATAACAAACATGCTGAGAAAGAAACCAGGAGAAAAATTGCATTCAGTGTAGCCATGGAATATCTTAGAATAAATTTAGTCAAGGAAGTAAAAGACTTGTATACTAAAATTTTAAGACACTGAGGAAATAAAGATACCAGGAAATGGAAAGATCTCCCATGTTCATGGATCAGTGAGATTAATATTGCTAAAATGGCCATCCTACCAAAAGGAATATACAAATTCAACACAATCCCCACTAACGTTTCAGTACAGTCCTTCACAGTAATTCCAAAAATGAATTCAAATTTCATACAGAAACACACACAAAAAAATCCAGGATAGCTCCCTAAATCCTGAACAAGAGAAGATATAGAGGTATAACCATCATTTATTTAAAATTATACTACAGAGTTATAGCAATTAAAACAGCAAGGTACTGGACTAAAAACAGACACATTAATCAGTGGAATATAATTGAAGACCCATGTACTTACAGCCACCTGATTTTTGATAAAGGAGCCAAAAATACACGCTGGAGAAAAGACAGCATGTTCAACAAATGGTACTGGTCAAACTGTAGAAGAACAAAACTATAGCCCTATCTCTCACCCTAAACAAAACTCAACTCCAAATGGATCAAAGACCTCAACATGGGACCTGATAACTTGAATCAGAGGATACAGTAGGGAATACACTGGCACTTACTCTCTTCTAGGGGACCTGGGTTCAGTCACCAGCACCCACATGGTGGCAAACACCTGTCCATAGGTCCAGTTCCAAGGAGGTCCAGTGCCCTCTTCTGGCCTCTGAGGGCACCAGGCATGGATGTGGTACACTACCATATATGAGGGCAGAATATTCATACATATAAAATAAAAAAGGGTGCTGGAGACATGGCTTAGTGGTTAAGAGCACTGACTTCTCTTCCCGAGGACCCATGATTTGATTCCCAGCACTCACATGGTGACTAACAACCATCTGTAACTCCAGTTCCAGGGGAATCTGACTCCATCTTCTGACCTCCACGGGCATTGCATCACATAGGTGCACTTACACACAGGCAGGCAATACATATATACATGCAAGAATAAAAGTAATAAAATATTTAAAAAATTTTAAAGAATAAAAAATTAAAAAAAGACAAAATAAAAGAGTTTGAATGGAATTACCCTATAATGGGAGGATGCCCCTACTAGATACCATAGGCTAGCAAATAAAAATTCCAATACCAGGAATGGATTCTCTCTTTTCAAGCTGTTGACCAGGGGTAATATAAACTCTCAAAAAATATTGGCTCTTGTCCTTGCTCTTGGTTATTCACCAGAACTTGACAACAAGATCCTAATGCTGAAAAGACTACATAAGTGAGTTGCAGAAAAAACAAGGAGAAATCAAGCTGATGCTAAGCTCAATGCTTCATCTCTGCTGGTTAGATTTCATAGTGCTAGAAAGTAATATATATACTACTGGAAAAGAAAAGTAATCATCAACCTTGCCTAACTATGCATGCTACAAGCTACAATGACTGGTCTTGCTAGATATGCCCACTGGTGCAATAGTGGCATGAGTTTTACGGGAGTGACCAACCACCCTTTAATTGGATTTAAGAATCACTTTATAGAGTCTATACTTGGCATGGATATCATGCCTAGGACCTGTAGCTAGACAGGTTGTAGGCCATAGGGGAGAGCCTATTATTCTGCTAAATGGACATAGTATTAAACCGAATCCTAGTGACATAATAATATAAATATAAATCCATAGGTTAGTGCATCTCTCATCTCTCACTAGAGAAGCTTCCTACAGTAGATAGTGATTAACACAAAGACCCACAACTGGTCAACATATAGAGAATAAGAGACTATAGATTACATATTCCTGAATGGGACACCTATATCAAACTTCTGCCTCCAAAGACTCAGGGAACATTGTAGAAGAGGTGCGAGAAAGATTGTAAGACCTAGAAATGGTGGATGAATACGAGGAAACAATGTTTTCCAGTTAGCTGGGCAGTTACTCTTATGAACTGTGACAGTTTACACAAGACCAAGTAAGGTCAAGCCAGACAAATTTCCAGCATAGAGGGGGCAGGTGGTTAAGAAACTCCAACCCTAGCTGGGGAACTATTGGCAACCTGTTGCTGCTGGGAGGAGAGTCACTTTTCTTTAAGGGTGTGACACTGGGTAGTTTGACCAGACTCTAGGTGATGGCCCACACTGAAGGGCATTTGGTGACACAAATCTGACTCCATAGGCCTTTAAAAAATTAATAATAGAGGATAAGAAATTGCATAGGGGTTAGTAAGGGAGGATGTATATAGGTGACAGGGGTCTGAATATAATCAAAATACATTCTATGAAATTTTTTTAAAAAATTCTGGGTGTAGTGGCACACACCTGTAGTCCCAGCACTTAGG